TACAACGGCTACACTTGTGTTTGTAGCACTCCAAAACACAAGTACAACGAACCAATTTAGGCTTATGTACTCCAAGGATGAAATGAAAGAAAATCAAAATAAACGAAATGATTTTGATTTTGGATAGAAGAGAGGATGAGAAACGTTTTGCATATCAAACTGTGAGGAATACAATTGAAAGAAACTGAAAGATGAAGGAACAAGATCATATCAAGAAAGGATTCAAGAGGCACATTAGATGAAAGCACGGACCAAAACGAAGATCTTGAAAGTTCCAAGGGTCAAACATGCACCAGCATTCGGTGTGCAAGCAACCCCCATTTTTTACAAACTCGAGGCTAATTGCATTGGCAACGTGCATGCGAGTAGGTACTCCATCCATGCGCGTGGGGTAATTTCATCTGATGAATTGACAAATTCCTTTTCTAATTCTAACCATTTTGGAACCAAATTTGGACGATTTTGACCTAACTTTCGCCTTCCATAAATATAAAACTTGGACGACACAATAGGAGATCTCTCTCTAATTTCTTAATATACATTCATATCATACAATTCATCGAGAACAATAGGCAAATTCAGATCTATTGGAAGAGAAGTTCAACTTAACAATATTTATACAAGAATTTGAAGATTCGAGGCAAATATTCAAGATCAAGATATTGATATTTAGCAGGTATTCACAGCATTGATGCAATTACATTAGTGGCGACCTTGTTGGAAGTATTAAAAAATAAATTGAACAACCTAACTTAGACTATAAACATGGTGTATTAACCATCACCAGTTTGTGGAGACTGCGAGACAGATCAAATAATAGCAAGCTTTCATTTAGCCTCCACGCATGTAATCTAGCCTAAGGAGTCAATTATGCACCGAATTCTCAAAGGCAACAAAACGATCCTTACTTTAACAAGTATAATCTAGGTTTGAATAATCATCCAAATTTCTCATAGACTAATAATCAGGGTTAGGGAAATCAGATTCACCTCAACACACCAAGAACACAACAAGAGAAGAAATCATCTTTAAATGATTTAATGGTTCATTGTATTACAAAGATTGAGACTGCACTCCAAAATCAGCAGGCCTTTATTAAAAATTTGAAAAATGCGATCAAGCAAATAATAGCTGCTTTGTCTAACATAGGCTATTTTGTCAAGCGATGTGAATAGAACCCCTGAGAATAGGTTTTAGCTATGCAACCATAGAAGATGATATGTTTGGCACTCCATCAATCAAGAGTGCTACCCCTAGTGCATGAAATAGAATACATACAACAACTATGAAAAAATAGGCCAATGAAATAAAAGACAAACTACATACTTTGGTTAAGCCTTAAACATTTGTTTGAAAGAATTAAACTTTTGACAAGAGATTATTAGCCAAGTCGAGACTTAAAGGTTGAAGTAATCAAACTATATGAGAATCCTTATTTATTGAAATGTTAACTTCCAATGAGTGAAATTGAACCAAACTAGAGAAAGATGATTTAGTATATGAATTCAACCTTAGATTACATATTAGGAAAATGGTTAAAATAATAAATTTAGGGTGTTCATATTACGGGGGAAGAAATGATAAATCTAACCATTGAGAGCCGAGATTTGGATCACTTCATAAATTTACAGCTTGTTTGAGCCCCATTATTTAAAAAAAATGCATTATTCTATAGTATTTTGACATCATTTCAAGCACATATTCAATAAAATAATATTACACGCAAATCCAAAATTTTTTCTTATTTTTCAACCACACATTTCTCATCAATACACTATTCAAAAATTCATTTTTCCTCCAAAATGAGGCTCAAACAAGGGCTTATAATGCCTTACATGAATCTTCACACACCTCAATTTTGCATTAGATGAGTAGAATTTAACTTTGACAATGTGATTTTGAAGCAATTTATAATTTTTACACAAAAATTCCAATCTTGAGAACAATGACATGTTACCTAACTACGTTTGTTTAAAATTCTTATTTAAGTTAAGTAATATTTTGTTTGAGAATAAACAAATGTTTAAATTTGGGGTTATTTGGTAAGTGTACAAAGTTAGGGTTGGCAACGGTTCGGTTCAGTGATGGTTCAGTTCGGCCAAAATAATCACCGAACCACCAATTTTTTTGCCATACCATAACCGCACTATAATTATGTAAGTAGGTTTCGGTTCGGGGCGGTTAATAACCATGAAAATAAATTATTTTTCATAGATCTAGTCGTCAAATTGAAAAAACAATTAATGTATGAAAAAAAGTCGCGCGTGATGGTTATCAACTGATAATCGAGTGAATTATATTTGAGCACTTCAAACTATTTGCATTGCTAATCACTTACCAAACCAAAATTGTACAAAGGGTTGATAGAGGGTACATCTGTAAGAAGGCTGTGATTTATGGTACCAAATGTGATGTCTAGGTTACTGATGACAAAATAAAGAAAGGCAAAGACTATGTATACTTAATTTCAAGCCAATTCAGATGCCTAAAACTAATCAAATGATCAAATTTAATGCAACAAAATAAGTTTTTTGAAACTGAAATTGTTGATTGAGTTCGCTTTAAGAGTGAATGAGTTGATAACCATTATGTGTGACTGCAAATGAAAAAAAAGTCCATGTGGAGTTTGCAAAATTAGATTTTTTTTTTAAAGACATGTTTTGTATTGTATTATTATTTAGATGAAAAAAATAAATTTAACGGGTAATTGGTCCGGTTCGGGAAAACGGTGTAAATACCATACTCGCACCTCCCTGAACCGGTTCATTAAAACCAAATATCATATCCGTCTCATTGCATCATTGGTTCGATTTTTTTCACTCCGTTCGATTTGGTTAACCGCGATTTTCGATTTTGACGGCTCAAATTGCCATCCCTATAAAAAGTACACTTATTTAGGTAATTAAATTGAAGTATTTATTATTGATTTAGATGAATAATAGCTTAATTGTTTGTTAATTTTTTTTATTAGGTAAAACTCGATGTAAATTGATTAAATTGGAAGAAATGAACAAAAAATGAGCGAAAATGGAAGAAATTCAAAGTTCAATGACCAAATTACAATTTGTTAATAGTTTATTCGGACCACAAAACAACAATTGAAGAATTTATATAGTTAATCGGATGCAATCAAAAAATGAAAGACCAAGATCATTTCGAATCCGTTATTATATGTTTGCTCTCATTTTCGTTGTTTTTGATGTTGAAACGATTTCTCTTTATCCATGGGCAATGAGTTTCGATGTATTGGATGTATCTGTATTTATAGAAGTGTTAATTTTCATGCTTATCTTAATTCTTGGTTTAGTTTATGCATGGCGAAAGGGGACGTTGGAATGGTCTTAACTCTTGAATATTCAGAGAATAAAAAGAAAAAGGGAAAAAAATGATTGAAAAAGTTATGAATTCCATTGAGTTTCTTTTACTTGATCAAGCAGTCCAAAATTCAGTTATTTCAACTACATTAAATGATCTTTCAAATTGGTCAAGGCTCTCTCGTTTATGGCCTCTTCTATATGCTACCAGATGTTTTATTGAATTTGCTTTACTAATAGGATCACGATTCGACTTTGATCGTTATGGATTAGTACAAGATCGAGTCCTATCTATGATTGTGTCAATGTGGAGGATGGAAAAGTGGCATGACAGTTAAAATTCCCCACATGTTAAGATACTTGCACTTGTGGTTGCCAAATCACCAAACAAACTTTCACCTATGCGAAATTAAAAAATGCTTTTGTAAATTAACTCCAAAAATCCCCGACTCCCACCCCTAAAACCAAAACCAACTCCCCACCGCCTTCTTCCACAGCCACCTTGTCATTGCCATCACCGGCAACTGCATTCCCACCCATTTAATCTTCTTTCTGAACCTTATAAAAAAAAATAAATAAAAATCTCCAACATTTTCACCAACATCTAAATAATCAACCAAAAAAAATCTCATGACTAAAATTAATTGGTTTTCATATTGGAGCAATTGAAGAAGATAGAATGCGGAATTTGTCATAAAAGTTTTGATTTTCTCGTCTCTACTCCTCCCCCATTCTCTTCCTATATTTATTTGTTATTTATTGGTGTTTATGCTTGTGTAGAAGGGTTAGTAGAGACAAAAAAATAAAAGTAAAAAAAATGTTGTTATTCTATAGGAAAAGTAGAACACATAAAACAGAGTTTGTGTATAAATGTAAGAGAAGGGGTCGATGGGAATGTGGATTTGGTTTTAGGTTGAGGCGTCAGTGGGGGTGGGATTTTGGAGTTAATTGCAAAAGCATTTTTTTAACTTCATATGGTAAGAGTTTGTGATTTGACGTCCGCCTATGCAAATCACTTGACAGGTGGATAATTTTAATTGTCACATCAATTTTCACCCTCCACGTAGACCCAACCATAGATGGAAACCATTTGGTGGCCAATTCAATGCAACGAAGTTAAGTGCAGTGGTCATTGGGAAGCTTCATTAATTTCAATGAGTAAACCGTGACAATGTGTAAAGTTCATTGGATAATGAAGGAATTAACTCATAAAGTTGGAGTATGAATTGTATAAATATGGTATTTAAAAAAAAAAAATTGAAAATTTTAATAAGGGTAGATTTAGCCTTGCTTGGTCCCAATTAAATTATTATACATTTTTCTCTTTCTTTTTATCTATTATATTTTTTAAATAAAATAATATTATACGTAATTCAAAAAAAATTCTTCATTTTCCCCGTTTGGTACACATTAATGTAAAAACGAGAATGAAAAGAATAATCGTTATGGGCCGCACATAATAAGAAATAAAAAGTTAAATATGATAGCTTGATGTGATGAATAACGATCATATCTTTTATTTTAATAGACATATAATAAAAAACAAATGAGGACTTAATATTACATTCTTCAAAAGAATATTATTCTAAACATTCAAATTTCAAACAATTTCAAATGATAACTGCAATGGGAGCTTAAGAGTCAAATATTTACATATAAGATTAATGATAAAAATAGCGCCTTCCAAATATTTTAATCACTTTTTGCCTGAAAATTGGTCAACATTTGTTGAGTAGAGAAGCAATTTCACAATTTTTTCCGTTCCATCAATTCGCTTGCATCATAATTCAATAAATTTTGTCGTTTCTAATTCAACACCTGTCGAAGAAATCGATTTCATCCATCCGCACAAGCAACTATAATTTCATAAATTGAAGAAAATCCAATTCATTCTTCATTTCAATTCAAATCAAGATGCAGAGAACAAGACGCAGATGCGAGGGCACATCCATGGGATCCATCGTATTGGATCTCCGCCCCGGCCTCGGCATCGGTCCTTTTTCCCTTGGTAAACGCTTATTTTACAGACACGCAATTTATATTATTTTGGTATTTTGATTTTATATTGTTCGTAATTGATTTTTACTTGAAAATAATTTTCACTGGCGAAAATATTTTGGTTTATGTAAATCTTTATCAGGCCTCAGTTATAAATTGGGTTTTCCAAGATTGGGGAGGGCCGATGGGGTAGAGATAATTATCATTTGGTACTTATTAATTATTATTTTGTGCTTAATCTTCATCGGAATTTGGTACTCCTAAAATTAGTAGGATCGCATGATGATGATACGATATTCTAATAAAAATTAACTGTTAATGCTTGCTTCCAATGGAACATTTGCTGTATGGTGTTGATATATTCTTCGTGCTGATGTTTCAGGAATGCCCATATTGGAAGCCTTTGCCCAAGTAGAGCAACAGCGAAACATCTATGACGTTGTTCATATCAAGTACTATGATGAGGTTTGGCTCGATTGCATTTTTATGCTGTAATTACGGTTTCGTGGAGATTATTCTAGACATGCTTGCCCAGGGCCACTCCTGTGATTGTCGGAGCCCGAGGCGAAGTCCAAAAATTAGACCCTAAAAATCAATGTAAATGCAAAATTCAACAGTATATTATGTTACATATTGCCAACTTAGAACTTAACATTACAACAATAAACAAATATCTCAATCATCTCACAATTAATGAAAAAACTATTTTCCTTTTCTTTCTTTTAATATTTAAAAAAAAAAATGCCCTTTTGGGCCAAAATAGGCCTCCTATGATTTTGGGCTTGAGGCATAGGCCTCATTTGCCTGGCCACAGGACGGGCTCTGTGCATGCCTATTGTCATTATTGTTACCTATTTTTGATTATGAAGTTGAAGATACTGTTAAATAATTAACCAATTGTATGGCTTTAGAATCGTTAATATTCTACTTGCCAATCTTGCACTTTTCAAGATGATGGCACTTTTGGCTTGCTCGTGTATCAACATTGATGGTTGTCATTAAGCATATTCTTCATTGTTGATTGTTGTAGTTATGTTTGTGTTGTATTGTTATGTTGGTGGTGGTTGTCATTATACTGTTCATATCATTTAATTTTGTTCTTTTCTCCTTTCCAAAGTTACGAAATTTTAATTTGCAACAGTAGTGGTGTCTTGCAAAACCTTAATAAACGTTCAGATTCAGAACTTTGGAGTTCAATGATCTGCTTTTTGCTGGCTAATTTTGGTAGTTTGAGTGAAGTTTTCATGGTTAAAAGTTTGGTTCTCAATTCTCAGCTTATGGAACTCATATCTAATTATGTAATTGACGCTGTTTAACGTTATTATTGTTACCTAGAAGTTGTTTGATTGTTTCCTAATGCAACGTACATGTACATGTCAGCTTGAGCATAATTGGCTTCTAAAAAAATAATGTGGCATTTTGTTTTCATTACTTATGCAGGATCCTTTGAGACTTGACATTGTTATTAGCTTCCCCGATCATGGTTTTCATCTTAGATTTGATCCTTGGTCACAGGTATTTATAAAGCACGATTTATATCCTTCTACGGTTTAATTGCTTGGTCTTTGTTTAGTTGTAATTAACTTTATATGTTGAATATTATTAAATTTATTGGAATTTCTAATACTTGTGCGGCTGTGCCACACATCTTTTGTGTTGGAGTTTGCTCTGTCAAGGCTAACAAACAAACATAAGTTATTCTCTTAACAGCTTGCTTAATGAGATTATTAATTATGTAATAAGTGGCATGGTGTTTTTGTTATTTTTGACCTTGTGATGAATATCAGAGGCTTCGTCTTGTTGAAATTTTTGATGTCAAACGGCTCCAAATGCGTTATGCCACTTCACTGATCGGGTAGGATCTTGTGCTTCTGCCATTAAGATTCTGATAATTTGGTTAAAGAATTAATTATTGACCACCATTGCTACTGTCAGTGGACCATCTACTCTGGCCACTTTTGTAGCTGTCTATGAGTGCTTTGGGCCAACCTATCCTGGAATTTACGACAGAGAAAGAGGAATATACACACTGTTTTATCCAGTATGTCCATTGATATCTGATCAACTGAAAGACTACTTTTGCATTTTTTTTTTCTGACAATTGTCACCTTGGGAGGTCTTGATTCTTCTAATTTCTAGGGCTTATCCTTCGCATTCCCAATCCCCTCGCAATATGCAGAGTGCTGTTTTGACCGAGAAGGTATTTTTTATTTTGATAATTTATTGTGTACATTTGATAAAGTGCCCTATACAGGAGTGCTTGATAGTTACTTATTGACTTTATCTGTGAAAGCCGAACTTCCCTTGGAGTTTCCCGATGGCACAACTCCTGTTACTTGCCGTGTCTCAATATATGATTCTTCAACCGACAGTAAGGTCGGCGTAGGATCTTCCATGGACAAGGCCCGTGCTCCTCCGTTGCCTGCTGGCAGTCTCTACATGGAAGAAGTGCAAGTAAAGGTTGGATTACTTGTTTATATTAACACACACACACACACATTCTCGTGTTTTTTAAACCCAAACCTGGTATAGCCTCCTTTTCCCCTTGAAGTTGTCGCACCCAAGTTTGGCCGGGATAGTCAGATGGATATGATGTCCACCATTGTGTGGCATAGATAGGTAGTAGCAAGTTGTGAAATGTTAAAGTAAAGCTGGGAGGAAGAAAGAATGGTATAAAATCTGCTAACCGATTCATTGTCAGATATCAAAATTGTTGCAGCGATCTTTGTAAGCTCCAAATTGTCTTCAATTTTGATCAGAGTTCCTAAGACTTATTCTGCAAATTAAAGAGCGACACATCTAAAATTTTATTCTAGAAAAGAAAGGAAATCAAATTAGAAGTTCAAAATTTTCATTTTCTTCAATTTTATAATTTGTGCTCACAACCTTATCTTGATTTTTTATTCAAATTTCACCTAATGGTTGAGATTACCTGTTGCATCTCAACTTCAATCATCTTTTTCTGTTTCCACTACAAGCTTTTATATGACCTTCTCTGTTTTCAACTGATGATTCCAGAAGGTCAAAGATTAACTTAAAAAAAATTTGAATGTCACATTTTACTGTATATAATATTCATAGGACCATGCCATACTTTAATATCTAAAAGTCGTTGTATCTGTCAAATTGTAGGAAATTATGCACCGTTATTAAACATTCAAATAAATGAGCAATTTGAGAAACAAGTTTGTTTATGTTCAGTTTTTTGTTAAAGAGTTGCTTGTTTCTCTCTTCATAAAGTTTCACTGAAAATGTATGAATTTGACTTTATTATTTTCTATCTCCAGCTCGGAGAAGAATTGTGGTTTACTGTTGGGGCCCAGCATATCCCTTTCGGTGCATCCCCACAGGTATAATTTGTTTGATATTTCATTTACATGACACATACAAAATTTGTCTTTTTTCGCTTTTATTTGAAAAAAAAAAATAATAAAAAAAAAAATAAACAAACAAACAAACAAACACTAAGCCCTATCCCAGTAAAATTATTGATATCGTTGTCTTGGTGAGTGAAATTCTTGAATATTAGAGCAATGTGGTTTGTTTATAATTTAAAAGAATTGAACTTCCCTATGAACATTCTGATCATGAAGAATTAATAATTTCTACTATTTCCTAGAAAGGATAAGAAAAATGAACTTCGTATTCTGTTGGCATTATTCTAATCTGAGATGTATTTTCAATTTTTTTCTCTTCCAACTAGTTTCATTAATGAAAGTTCCATGTACTTTCTGTGATGCATTACATTGGTTCTGTGATGCATCGCTTTATGAACCAAGGTTCTGATAGGTTCCAACCTGTAGCAACAACAAAGAACAGGAGAAATTGCAGGAAAAAGTTCTTTTATATTGATGGAACGGGTATTAAAACTCAAAAATAGAAACGAACAGTGGCCATTCGAGAGGGCCTTATTCTCCTAATATGACTTCACTCACAATCTTTTTTCATATCCCCCGACTCCATTCCTCTATTCTATTTGTAACCCCATTTGTAACTAACTCTAGCCATGTCATCTTTACTCAACATAATTTGTTACTGCCCACAGCCTTCTTGAACCTTCTAGAATAGATGTAATTGATTGGGGCTCTATCAGGTTCCAAACGAGAGAAAATGAGGTTGAAGTATTTGGAGTGAGTTGAGAGACCTCTTTATTTGTTATTGAACTCTGCAGTTTGATTCAAACTCTGCAATTTGATTCCCTTTTGCTTTATATTATATGTATAGCTCATCTTCTGCTCTATAATTTGTATGTTTTGTTTCTCTTTACAACATTGGAGATCATTTGACAGGCTGAAGTGAGGAAAAATATAGAGACTGATTTATTTATTTATTTTTGACTTGTTTGTAAGCTGTGCATGAGTATTTGTCATTAACATTTATATTTGGTCCTCTTCAATTCAATCAGATTATTAGCTCTTGAAACATAGTTAACATTGGCTGTTAAGTTGCCAGCTCTTCTCTCTCTCTCTCTCCCCCCCCCCCCCCCCCCCCCCCCCCCCCCCCCCCCCCCCCCCTC